AGCCGAAGGCAGTGGCTTAACCAACTGAGCCACCCAGGCGCCCCCAAACAGTCATTTAGAAGTATGTTATTGAAATGAAATTCGACGATGCTGTACACAAATATTTAATGACATGAAAAGATATTTACTATCTGGTAAGTGCTAAAAGCCGATTACAAAGCAATTGTACAGTGTCATCTTTTTTTTTTTTTAAGATTTTATTTATTTATTTATTTGAGAGAGAGAGAGAGAAACAGCATGAGAGGGGATAGGGTCAGAGGGAGAAGCAGGCTCCCTGCTGAGCAGGGAGTCCGATGCGGGACTCGATCCCGGGACTCCAGGATCATGACCCGAGCCGAAGGCAGTCGCTTAACCAACTGAGCCACCCAGGCGCCCCAGGGTCATCTTTTAAAAAAGTTTCTTCGTTTACTCAAAACATTTATTTTTTCGTTAGGCTTTGCCTACATTACCCTTTTTTTAAACAGAAAGCATCTCATTTTATAATTAAAAATAGAACACAAGATTCAGGATAAACTAAAGATCTAAACATTTAAAAAGCAGAAGAAATCTAAAAGGAAATATATAAGGATATACATAACCTAATATAAGGAGGTGTGTGTGTGTGTGTGTGTGTGTGTGTGTGTAATCTTGCTTCCCTGAACTGGGTGTGGGGATTTACATAATGAGGATTTCCTGGGTGGGCATTTTTGCCCACGTTTTTAAGGTTTTTCTAAGCATATTAAATTTAGGGGTGCCTGGGTGGCTCAGTCGATTGAGCATCGGCCTTCGGCTCGGGTTATGATGCCAGGGTCTTGGGATCGAGCCCCACATCGGGCTCCCTGTTCGGCGGGGAGTCTGCTTCTCCCTCTGCCTGCCACTCCCCCTGCTTCTGCTCTCTCTCTGTCTCTTTCTCTGTCAAATAAATGAATAAAATCTTTAAAAAAAAGCATGATATTAAATTCAGAGGACATAAGGAAAAACAGTGACAGGGATGACCACATAGTTTAACTTCATTATAGAAAAGGACAAAATAAGAGTTAAAAGACAAAAAACTCAAGAGACAGTAGTAGCAGCATGTATAAGAAAGTATCATAGGGCGCCTGGGTGGCTCAGTCGTTAAGCG